CCTTTTCCTCTATGGGTGTGAAACCATACTTTTGGTAGGGACAGTACCTGGAGATACCTTTCTTCCCTGTCAAGGGTTTGGATTCACTTCTCCAAGCAAGAAAAAGAGGTGGTAGCTATTTTGAGAGAGACAACACCTTTGCTTTTCTTACCAAATCTCTTGTTTCACCCCCCATTAAGGATGATCCTGAATTCTGTGATTCATTGCCAATTCTCCCCAAGAATGGTAGTACACTAGCACTAAATGATAGGCTGCTTCTTGGGTTATACAACAGATCCACTGAAATTGAGGAGCGTTAGAAATCATCATTCTTTACAGCAGTAATACCCAAACCACTCACCCAGCCGCAGTCTGTCTCTTGGGAACTCCCATTTACTGCTGTCATAGGGAAGACGGTCACACTGCTCGTCAAGAGGCATTTCCTCTGGATCCATTATAATTGACAGGTATCCTGTTTTAATATCTGTGGCATCAGGCTAAAAACAGGGTGTGGAGAAATTATTGACAGTATTTACCCTGCAATTCTAATGGGAGAGCTGTCATCTACAAGACTGAGTGCTGGCTGGGGAGTTCCCTGAATTCCAGACTTAGCTCTGAAATTTATTCTGAACCATGAATGCATCACTTCAGCTTTGTGCCTCTTTTTTTTTAATATCTGGGAAATAAATGTTTATGTATGCCTGTCACTTATGGGTGTTGGGAAGAGTCACTGATTAATGTTGGTAAACACTCTGAGGACACAAAATCTATCACTGTCTTCTACCTGTATGTATTAAAGGAAATCCGTGCTTTTCTATGGGAACTCCAGGAGTTGCACTTCCTGGTGCACTACGGAGAATTTTGGCATTTTCATAGTGTTTCATTTTGCAGGCTTGATTCTCCAAAGTTATCCACTTCATGGCTATTTCTTATTACAATTTAAAATTGAAAGCTGGTGAAAACTGCTACTTCTAATGCTGCTCAGTGAAAAAACGTGATTTGGTGGGACCCATGAGCAGACTTGCATGGGTGTAAAATGTAATAGGAAACTCACTGTTGTCCACAACTCTGTTAAACTGAGGTCAAGGAGGAAAGCATTAATTTAGTCACTGTATTTGCAATAGGAGGGGAAATTTTACTTAAGTATTAGGGATCAGCACTGGAACTGTAGTTTGGTGAGCTTCAGAGCAGAGCTGTGTTTGCCTTTCTGTTTACTGTTTGTTTTAGGAAAAACAGACCTAAATTCCTTGGAACTTTACTGAAACTTTACTTTTTTTGAGTCACAAAAGGGAGATGAAAGAATAGCAAGACTTGGAGACAAAATTATCTGTGTGATTTGAGCTAATTTCTAGAGCTAACATCCTAGGATCTTTCTTAAAACAGGGCCGCCTTTAATACCTATGTTTCAGAGAAATCTTATTGGACAAGTGCTGAAATCAACCGCTCCTTTTAGGGGATTTAGGACTTTTTTTTGGTTTCCTAATCTTGCAAGCAAGTTTGACTCATAAAGAGGGAGGAGCCTGATTTTATAGTGCCATGGAAGTGGGTAGAAATCCCACAAGTGCAAGTGATCTCTTGAGAAGTCAAAGGACTATCAGCAGAAACCTTGGACTGAAATTTTATAGGAACATTTTGCACAGTTTTTCTACCATCTGTCCCAAACATTCAGCCCTAAACTCTGATGCTATGCATAAACTGGGCCCAAACCCAGACCCTTTGTGCAGTATGGAAGCTCTCTTACTTTTCTCAGTTTCCGAATGAATAGGGTCAGAAGAAGCCAGAAGAGAGTAGCGGCTAGACCAGTGCAGACCAAAATGATAACTTCAATGTTGGATTTTTCCTCAGAACCTGCAGGTTAAATGTACAACCAAATTTTAAATGTAGCCGAATTCCATGACTGAACAACAGTTCTCATCAGTTCAACACAATATATGCGTTTCACCTTAGCTTGGAACTCACCTTGTATTTTAATGAAGGCTGATGTGCTGTCTTGGCCCATGTCATTGGATGCTTTGCATTCATAGAGCCCTTCATCATCCTTTTTCACTCGCTCAATGACCAGGGTATTATTTTCCATGGAAATTCCTGTTGTAAGGGATTTCAGTTAATATTATCACAATAACCTACCTGCCTACAAACGCTTTTAGGAGACGGAGAACTGAAAGTCAGCTCCCATCCATGCAGGCCTGGTACGCAGTGGTGTTAGGAGGCATTTTAATACTGTGCTCCTCATTGTGGTCTGGCAACAACCTTTCCCTGACACTATTTTTCTCCTCAATACCTGTGTAGATTTCTTGGGGATCATTTAACCAACAGCAAATGTGGCTGTTAATTTATTATGAGCAGACAGAGCCTGAGAAAACTTCTATGAAAGTTAGTGAAGTGATGGGAAGATAGGCTTTGTGATAGCAATGAGATACACTGGGAAAAATGGGAACTCGGTGAAATTATTGGAGAAAGCCGATGTCTTGGAGGCTGTGGGAAGTGATGGGAGTTCTAACACGTGGAACATGGAAATCAGGTTATGCACATCCCTGAAAAAATCACTGCGTGGAGCAATCCTGGATTCACAGGCAGCCAGGGGCTAGAGGTGGAGTGGGAAGAGGGAGGTTGCCTAGATGTGACCTACGTCAGGCTTTTCTACATTTAATTTTCCTGATTAATTTTCCACATATAATTTTTCCTGATTTGTGGCACAAAACTGAGAGCTCATCTGTTTCACTAACGATATGTTTGGAGCAGAAATAGGTAAACAGGTCAGGCTTTGAATCCAAAAGGGAAGGACATTTGAGTTTCTGGGTGTTCTGCCTATTAATCCTGTTGTTGTTAACAAGAGTACTGCACATAACTTGCCATGCAATGTGCTGAAATATTTACCCTGAGGTGTTTTTTCCAAATGTTTTATTTATGTTTCCATTGGTTGGATGAGTTACATATGCTTGTCCCTCTAGAATTATTTATAAAATTTCAGTAGCTATAAAGAATTTCTCTCAGAACAGTCTGATCTGAATTATGGATGATCCTAGATTTCCTACCTAGTCCAAGATGCAAAATTAAAGTCACAAGACCAGCTACTGACATGGGATTCTCCATGACTTATAGGAGATCTCAGGACAGAGAGTGAGAAGGAATTCCAGGCTCAGGTAAGGGAGCCCACGCTCCCTGCCCATGGTAGCACTGTACTTGTACTGCTCTCTACCAGTTGAGCACATTCTCATTACTATATTGTGCGAGATAAAGAAAAGTTATGTAATATGCCGTGGCATGCCCTGGACCTGACTGTTAGGTGACTGCCCACAATTTGCTGCAACATACTCTGATCAGGCCCCAAGGATATCTGGCGGTTCAGGCTTGTGTTTTCAGACCCACCTGACAAGCAGGTACACTCTGTCTCAGTTTTGTATGCAAACTGTTGTCTCGCACAAGCAGACTGAACAGCAGCACACTGTATTCCTTGGTTTACTAATGCTATGCTAACGTATGCAGACTATCTGGCTGACTCTGCAGACACGAACACCGCCGCATGCGGAAGACATGGCAGGCAGTGTCGTTGCGGAAGACATAAGCAGGCATTGGGTTGCAACCGGTTGGCAGCTTTGACCTGAAAGTCCAAGTTGGAGACTACTGCAGTGGTCTGATATATTTGGATTTGTGTGTGTGTGTTTTCTGAAGTTGACGTATACCATCCTGACTCAGCCATGCTTGCAGTAGCCGTGGAGTTGTAGGTCCTATGTCTGTGGCGAACCTGCAAGTCCATTATCCTGTGTTACATACAAAACCGCAGCATGCTCGGGAAGAAAGTACACTCACCTGATGCTGCTGAAATGGGGTAGCCGTTCTTCCTCCACGTAATCTGAGGTTCTGGCGTTCCACTAACTTTGCACTCCAGAATGATCTTGCCGCTGATGTTAACCTCCAGATCCGTGAGGTTTTGTATCATATATGGTGCTGCTTTTGCTACAGTCACAAAGGAAAACAGTACACAGTAAGATTTCAGAAGGCACCCCCCACAGCTCTGCCATCTTCTCTCCTTTGGCCACTTGCATGGCCTCTCTGGGCTGGAAGTGGCAAAGATTTGGTCGATGAGTGGTAGCAAAAATCCCTCAAAAGATGATGGGAGAAGTGGGTGAGTTCATTTGGCTTATTTTCAAACTGACTAAGCTTAGATTCAGCTTCAGCTTGAACATCCTTGAGTTTCTCATCCTCTGACAAAAACAGAGGACAGTGAGTGGGAAGAGCAAATGCACAGTGAATGCAAAGAAGAAAGGAGGAGGCAAAGAGGAAACAGTTCTAAGTTCTTGTGTTCTCCATCATGAGTGCAATTATCTACTTACTACAAAGCATGTTAACCTCCACTTTATGTTCATTTATAAAAGGTACAGGAAAGCAATGAATAAAATCACAAGCACAGCATAAAAAATACATAAAACCTGCAATAAGGACGGTAGCTGATGGGTATTAGTACATTTAAAAGACCTTGTTTGTATAGGGGAAGGAGGGCTGGTTTGGAGGGGCATTTCCACTCATGTTCTCCAGAAGAATTGCCTCCCTGACACGTGCCAGACAAATAACAGACCCCAGTAATTCTCAGAAGAATGTGATCAAGGTTCCACTTCTCCCATGGATGTATTCCCAGTTTAGCTGTGTTTTTCCCATAGCCATCATGTGTAGGTGTCTGTGTAGGTGGAAATTTGACTAAATGAATAAAAATATCTGCCAGGGGAGAGAAAAGTGAATTGCCTGAAAGCAGAGTGCAGAGCAAGCCCAGTGCCTCCATGTCAGATGATGCTGACAGGTGGCTCCGGTACCGGCTGTGGGGACAAGCCAAACCACTAGCGCTCTGTAATACCAGGGTAAGATTCTTTCCCTTCCTCCACACTTCAGGAAGAGGCAGGTGCTCATGCCATTTCTTAAAATAAATCACCTCCCACTCAGGTATCAGAGCTGTGCTAGCCACAGCTGTGGCGTGGGTGAGCATTTTCTCCTTGTGTGTATGCCTGCATGGAGGGGAAAAGGACTGTGAGAGTGTTGTTGGCTGCACAGGGTAGGACACTGCATGGGAAATGTGCTCGTTCATTTAAACAGGGATGAAGCCAGCACTGCACGGCCTGGTTTTTACCTAAGTGACAAGTGCTTATGGCAGCATAGCTGTCCCTTCAGTGTCTCATTAGCCATTAATGTAAGTGGAGAAGCCAATTTGAAAATCACTGTCTAATTCGGCTTTTGAAGGACTCTGTCTTCTGCACCCTGGCCTGCTGCTGTTTATTTCAATTCTACTCCGTGCTTTGGGTTTTTCTTCACCATTGGAAGAGAGCTAATAAATTCATCCATTCCAGCAGCACTTTTTCTTCTGAGAAGGCTTAGAGCCGATCACTCACTTCCTTCACTATGAAGCAGAAGAAACTTTACTAATTTTCAGTGAGGTTCTACCGGAAGAAGTGTCCTGCCCTTTATATTCACATAGCCAAAGAAACCAGGCTTCAGGATCAGTAGTGTTACTATTTTTATGAAAAGAAAAGAGTTGGGGGTTTGGGTATAAGTAAGAAAATACTGTTATTACAACTAAGTGCATCCCACTTACCCAGAATAAATGGTACATGTCACTTGATTATACACTTGACCAGTGACATTTGTGATTACATTTGCTGGGCCCAAATCTATTTAGGTATCCATATCATCTTGGCAGCTGTAAGTGGGTGGAGTCTTCTACCAAAGTCATATAGATCTGGGGTGACAGTCCCAAATGATAGAGTTGTGCTGTTAGTAACATGGTGGTTGATGCCTTTTCTCCTCAGTCAACACTGTATCTGCACCCAGCATGGAGTTCGGAAGATAAAATGCAGCTGAAATCACCTTTATGTGTAAGGCAAATATTTTATACAAAACCAGCAGTGGCTGGATGAGTAATATATATGGCTAGGTGTCAATCCACATATAGTAATGCATAAAAACCTCCCAAACCAGAGCACAAAGTCTGTATTAGGACAGTCCCTAAGAAAGGCTGGGCACCTTCTGCTTTGAAAGGCTTCAAAGGGAGCAGCAGATGCACAGCATTTCTGCTCCTGCAGCAGAACGATAGCACGTCCCACTGCCATTTTCCGTTGGCAGGACCTACCTCTGACGAGGAGCTGAGTGTGCTGTTCTAGCGTGTCGGTGCTGTTGTGCTGGTTCTGGGCTCTGCACTTGTAGAGGCCGTTCTGTTCCTTCGTGACGTTAGTAATGACCAGTGTCAAAGAAATGGAATAGTTGTCAGTTTTCTTGATCACTGAGTCACTAAGAGCCGCCTCTGAGGAGGGGTAATACCAGGACAGGTGACTGTAGATGTACTTGGAGGCCCGGCAGGTCAGCCGGACGTCATTCCCCACAATGGTTGTGACTTGTGGGTCTGTTTGCAACCCAAATGGCACATCTAGGAGGAAGGGAAAACATGTTTACAATTAAGTCACAACTGAGAAGATCTTTGGCTGCCTGGTTGCAACTTGATGGTCAAATTTCAAAGACCAGCTGTAATGGAATGAGCCAATTTTAATGAGACCCACATTTGCATGTGCAAATAGGCACTGGTGCTTATGAATTAGGTAAGTGAATGTACCTCTCACGTCCCAGTGCTGACCTGTGGTAGTCTGGCCCTCAGTATTCTAATCATTACATCTTCAGGTAATGAATTGAAAGTTTATAAATAGAAGTAGTTAATGGACTAAGAGAGTTTAATCAAGAGAGATTTCTATCCAGGTAGACAAATGTGTTCATCAGCTCTTCTCTTTCTATCTGCAATCAGTGCTTGAAAGTCTAATTGCATAAGAATAGAGACCTATTCCCATTTCTCAGAAGTAACACTCTCTTTCTTCACCACTGAACAATCTTCCCAATTCTCTCTTATTTCAACTATGCCAATATTTATTTTCATCACATGTGCCTTGGTGGATATTTACTTGATCACTGAATGGATTAACTATCTAATGAAGTATAACTCCTTGAGGCCTTTATATTTAGCAGAGAAATACTTTGAGGCGTGAGTCCAATCTATCCACAAAAGAGTAAGCTGTTTCTTGCTATATTTTTAGTAACTTTTCACTCCAGAAAAAAAATCAATTTTCCTGAATTGGTGAACTGAATTCATTTGAAGACAAGAAAAAATGTTTCTGAGTAGAATGCCAGAGTCTGGCCTACAGACACATTCCTATTACTGCATTAGCCGCCAGAGACCTACAATTAAATTGTGTCTGAAAGATATTCTTTTCCCTTCTTATTCTGTTAGTTTCAGTGATCTATCCACCCAGCAGACTTGAATGAAAGTGCATTGATAAGCACAGTGACCTGGAATTATTCTTCTGTCTGCTAGGTCAGGATTTTCAAGCAGCTGAGAGTTATGAGGAATCCCTTATAAATTTTACCAGGTGTAGTATGGAGACGGGATACTTTGGGAGGACTTGCTCTGGATTACCTTCTGAACATGAACAGTGTTTGCAATAAATCTGACAGATTGTTGCTTCAGTACTAAGCTATTAGTAAGATGCTTTCTCAAGCTAGGATGAAATGGATGGTACTTTGAGAAGGACAGAAGTTAAAGGGGAACAAGTATGCATTGCACTTGCAATCTGACAAATTCCACATGGGAGCTGGAATTTGGCCAGGGGCTTACGCTGCAAACTCTTGCAAAAAGTTCTGACAAAGCTATAGATGAGCATAAATAGTAAGGCTGTTGAAATAACCCAATCTGCCTTATAATAAACCATATATTGTATAAAATACAGAGCCCTGAAGGAGCTTTCAGATATGATTAAAAGCCTGTCTTCTTCACAAGTCATCTGGAATAGAACCAATAAGCTTTGCTTCATGGTTTTTAAAGATTGGCACCAGAAATGTTTTACAAAAGATCCAAAAAGAGAAGACACCCCTCAGGCCACAGCTGTGGAAATTGTTATTTTCCTTTTCTTTCCTTTTCATGAAATTTCAGTTTACTTTGTGCGGTGTTTTGTTAGGCTCAGTTGCTCTCTTTCTTGCTTAGTGCTAGCTGCACACTCAAACTGACTTGTGTAATACAACCTTTCTTCATATCTGATGTCCTGTGGTTCCAACATGTCAAGATGATGCTTATCAAAAAGGGGGAAAAGTCTGAGGCCAGCAGAACTTCTCTAAACAGGAGGAATTAAGGTCCAGTGAAAACACTGGGATGTGGCATGAGCAGCATCTCAGCATCTCTCCTGCATCCGTCAAACCAAAATAGGGAAAAAGTGCCTTCTTAACTTGCCTTTTTCTTAGTTTCTCTTCTAAGCATTTGCTATTTGCTCCAGCAAGAGTTATAGCACTAAGGTAGATGGATCTTTGGTTAGACTCGGTTCTTTAGTAAGCTCAATGGTCTGGGAGACCTCCTGAGATCCCCTCCACCCTGAATTATCCTATGATGCTAAGTGCTGGGTCTCAGTGAAAGTATAAAGGGATTCCAGGTAAAGTGACGAGGTAGGAGTTTGGTCACATTACCTGGGGTAAAACACAGTGCAGGGCAAGCTAAACTTTGGCCTTAAGCGGTTAGGCTGGCAGCCCCATTCGCCCTTGCTTCTGCCTCTCAGGGAGCCTTTTTTTCAGGAGAACTTCTTCTTACATCTTGCAGCCCCGTTTGTTTTGCAGGGTGAGTTTCTCTGAATGCTGTGGGAGAAAGCCCATCCCAGGGGAAATACTGCATCTCTTGGGATAAGACATTGGTTTGTGTATGGCAGTGACAGCATGGGCTGGAGCGCCCAGAGATCTCGGACATTTTGGTGCAAATTCCCAATGAATTTGACGTGTTAATTTCCCAGCCCTAAATTGTGAAGGATGCTCGATAGTTTTGCCTTGCTGCTGGACTTCACCAGTGCAGGGTTTTTTCTACCAACTTGACATTCTGGGAGCAGAGGACTGGCTTGTTTTTCTTATCATTTCTTCTACTGACATTCTTTATTTAGCATTTTGAATATTTTTAGCTGGAATCTGTGCTGTTCTCTTCCATCTTGTTAGCCTTTCAAGAAGCTCTTTCAGCTCCAATAGAATATTCATTGATTTTCATTACAGTGGAAGGAAAAAGAGAGGAAAAAAAAAAGTCTCTCTTGCTCTCCTCTCTCTTTTCTCCTCCTACCTGGATTATCTGGGGAGTAACTGCAGCTTTGAGAGCACATTATAAGTCAGTTCATCTCTTAGACTACTTTGCTTACACAATCTTGAACCTGAGCAGTGATTAACTTCCTTTCTCTGAACAGATACAGTATTTTATAAGACTCCTAATAAGTTGGCTAAAAGAATGCACCATGGGGCCTTTTCTCTTTTATCAGCAGTCACCAAACATTTGTCTTTCGTATTGTATTACAGTGTAGTAGCCGCGAATTTCACTCTCGACTGTGCGGGATTCCATGGCAAAATAGGGAAATAAGCCATTGGGGGAAGGTAAAAAGTCAGCATAAATCAAAAGAAAGTCTGGCTCCATTTGTATTTACAAGGAATTAATTGGTTTTAATTTCCTGTGCTTTGCACAATAATCTGTGTAATTCAAAACTTCTGCTCTTTCCCAAATTCCATCCCTGTGCCTGTCAAGGTGGGGGGGTTGCCATCAGGCATATGCATGTAGGGAGAGTGAGAAAAAGAAAGGGTGAGCCCTACCATCTGAAACAGCGCAGAGCTTTTAATAAATCCTGCAAACATGTCAGGAATAAACAAATTGAGAGTGGCAAGCAGTTGTAGAACAGCCCAGTTCATACATTGTTCTAGTATCTGATAGCGGATTTTTATCTCATGTTTGAAATATAATATTTTCTTTCTGGTATAAATCTTTAACTCCATTTTTTTGAGTTGTTTTTGCAATCAGATAAGCCCTTGAAAAAGGGCTTTTGTTATTATTTGTTATTCTTATCATAATTCATTTATATTCCAAGAACATTCAGAGGTTTCATATGGGCGGGATCCCATTTTGTTGTATGTAGTACAATGATATAAAGGCTAGAATTTGGTTTACTGTGGACCTACAGTAATATATAGTTGCCCTTTCCAAGGTGCAGACCAGAGATTAGAAAGTAAATAATACTTGTTCATGGCAGAGAATACATCCAGGAGACATCAGGTCAGCTTTTCACTGCACTAGGAAGGTTGCAGTCTGCCTTAAGTGTCCTGTGGTGCATAACCGGTGGTGGGCAATGACATGAGGCAGTTCTGAGTATCTGATGGCTCGCCCACATTGCCTCCGCCAATGACAAAATAGTCATCTGACTTAAATAGGAACACTGGTGTCAAAACTGTGGTAGGCAAGATAGGCAAGAGAGAGATTTTGTTTCCACAAGAAACAGTAAAAAGGATTTACACAAAAGAAAAATACTGGAATAAGAGTTAGGCCAGGACATGATGGATAACTCTGCTACTGCATTGCTATGGGAGTTTCTGCTGCCATGAACAGCTTTAGGAGAGCTTCAGTGGGACACTGACAGTCAGGACATTTGCAGGAAGAGCTCAGAGAGCCTTCAGGGCTGTCACTGAATGATAAGATTTCTCATCACGTTGGACCCCTTATATGGTTTGGTTTCAGTGTGATCTCCAAACCCTGTTGACCCTTCACTGAAATGAATTCTGCTGGCAAAGAAATGATTTAAAAATAGATACCAGTACTATTTCTAGTGTCCGTGGGAGTTTTTGTGGGGGCTCTGCGGTGGAAGAACAAAATGGTTGTTGACATTATTCCATTGGGATAAATATATTTTTCTGAAATGAATGTGGTGGTGATGAAAACACCAGACTGAAGTAAGGCATGTCCCCAGAAAGCAGGTGCAGTGCGGACAACACCTGATGAAGTTTCCCTATAACACTCTGCCATGTCCTGACAAAACATTTCAACCCTGACCTAGTGGAACAAGTTTTTGAGGGAAGAAGAGAGTTTAGCCTCTGTATCATCTTCAGATTTCTTACCAGGGAGAAGTTAATTAAGCTCAATTCAGCCAAAATGTTTGAAAGCAGCTCAGGATCCACCAGCTTGTTTGTCGGTAGGAGATAATGAGAGATCAGGTCTTTAAAATCAACAAATTGCTGAATTAATTGTGGAGTCGCACAACTAGCAGCTGTTTTGCAGAGAACAGAGCACTGTGAAGTGCTACAAACATTTGCTAGACATTGTCCTAAAGGCCCACACATTGCTTGTGTGCTCTCAGACTTTAACTCAGCCTTTATCTCAGCTTTTAGGTTCAAGCCGCATAAAATTAATCAGCCTAGCAATTGTAAAGTGGCCTGCTTAAAGCCATATGCTTTTGGACTTCCCCCCGTTTGGTACCTCACAAACTGTCCCTGAATGTCCCTCCAACACTGAGACTAGAGGCAACTTCTGGTGAGAGTAACCTGGCAGTCGCTTAGCCTCCTCCAAGTGCACCCAGTAGAAGACAGTGCTTTTTTTTCCATCTGTGAAGTAGACCTTCAGCAGCAGCTCTTATAGCAGTCTGGCCACTTGTTGGATAATATGCATTACTCAGCAGAGGACCATCATGTAAAGAAACGCAGCAGCAGGTCACTCTGCTGCTATTTTACCACTGCAACATGACCTACTTTAGGATCAGGATGGCCACATTTAGAAAGATTTCATTTCTTTCTAATCCATAAACACCACTATTTTTAAACACAGCACTTATAAAAGTCAGTCATGCTTGTTCAGCATCTGCCTCTTCCCCAGAATGGTACAGACTCACCGTCTTTTTTTCACAGGCAAGAATATATCTGTCTTGCCAAGCCCTGTTCACCTCTTGGTCTGTTTTGGTGGAAACATATCCACCATAACTGCTGTCAGTAATTTTGTCCAGTGATTCATTTCCTTCATAATTAAAATTGCATGATTAAAATATTTGTGTCTCAAAACATGGCTAGATTGATCTTAAAATAAAAAATCTGAAATATTAGCTCACTGTGGGGGGAAAAAAACCCTACATAACTCTATTATTAAAATAAAACATAGTTGTGAAAGGTGCGTGGATTGATCTAACCCTTTGAATCTGACCTTATGCTAGTTGCTTGTTTCGTTGCTGCAGCGTTGGTTTTAGTCACCAAGTATTACAAGGTACTGTGAATAGCTTGGGAACATACGGCTTTGAGTAACCCATCCAAACATAATAGCTGGCAGAATTCAGAGCAGAAACAAACCCACGTGAAGACTCAACACTTGGAAGTGGTGAAATGTAAAATTAATAGCTGGTCTTCAGCCTGCCTTGGACATCTTGAGGACCTCTTATGTCTGAGCTGTATGTCCCAAAAATGCAACTTGAAGGGCTTTTTCCTAAGTAAATAAGAGTTAGAGCTTTGGAAAATATCTTTTGGAGGCTTAAACCTTCTTCTGTCCCCATAAGCATTGGGATAGTACAAAGAAGCTGTAAATGGAGGTGAAATCTTTCCCCTGCTTCATTATCATTGGATGACATTTTTCATATTAGCACTTCTGTATAATAAGAATGGTAACAATGTTTAGAGAGCCCTTTTTTGGTTAGCCCGATTTGAAATGTGCTCAATTACTTTAGAGCAATGGAGTAAAACAACACAGGATGCAAGAGAGGCAGAGGAGTGCAGAGCACTGCCACCAGCAAGCTTTGCCCTCAGAACTTGCTTCACGGGGAAGAAACCAAGTAGTGAGAATCAGACATTTACCTTCCAGGACACTTCTGCACTCTTTGTTCTAAAAATTGTTATTTTGATGCAAATTCTACCAGCCAACGTCCACTCATCCAGAAAGTGAGCATAGAAATGATTCAGTTTGTTCTGGTTAAGCACTTGAACAAGGCTGTCCCTGGACTCTTCTCTTTTTTTAAACTCCCATCTCTCCTAAAAGCATTATGTAGGTCTTGATCTCACTACTAAAGAATTTCTGTGTTGAAAGGTTAAGCAGATATTTGTTTGGATTTGTGTTCTTTGGAAAAATAGCATGTCCACCTCCTCCCTCCTTAAAGGGCACTGGAAAGGCTAATTGCTCAGGCAGGGATCCAATGTCACAACAACTCCCAGTGATATCAGCCCTGGATTAGGTCTGAATATTGGCCTTGCTCACCTTTGCTATGTCTGCTGACTTAATTGGAGACCAACCGTTCTCCTGAGTCAGAGAGAGGCTTCAGGCCTTTGGAAGACTACAAAGGACTTAGCTTTTGCTAGAGGTTTCATGAGGACAGCGCTTAAATGTCATGAGTGATGCTTTAAGACAGGCAGCTAGACTCAGGGCCTGCATCTGCAGCTTGCAAAGGGCAAAAGGGGCATCAGATCTGATGCTGGACATGTCAAACTCAGCTGTGCACTGACGCAGGACCCAACCTTGCACATGGTGAAGAGCCTGGGACGGTGTGATTGGGAGTACTCTGAAAACACAACATGCAGGGATTCCCAGAAGTTTTAACAAGCACTCACCAGCCATACAAAACTTTAAGGTAAATCAGATCATCAGCATCTAGTTTTTGTGTAGTGTCTCTTGTGTTGTTTACCTGAGACGTAGAACTCAATGCTCCTCTCTTCTTCGCCGATCTTGTTTGAAGCCACACAGTAATAGATTCCTGATGCACTGCTGTTCTCCATAGTTAGTGTGCTCACAATCTGCCAAGCAAAGAGAGAAAAAGTAAAGGCTTTGAGTGCAGTGTAGGCTTAGCAGAGAGGCTTAAGAGTGGCCCATAAGTATATGTTTTATGGTAGAAAAACAGTTAACAAATGAGTTTGTAGTAATGAGTGAAGCTCACAAACAGGCAAGTGCTTCTATTAGGTTTTTGGTCTCTCATCTCCCATCACCTCAGCCCAATTAATTCTTTTTCCTCCTCATTCCTAAACCTTCCCCTTCTTTTCTTCCTGTCTCCCCCATGAAAAACAGGGTTCCCTCTCTCCTTTGACATACTGCCAAGGTCTTTGTGCGACAAGAGCAGCAAAAAGCTGGAAGATTCATCTAAGATACTGGAAATGAAGCCCCATATCCACCTATTTTCTTTTCTGCTTTTCAGTTATGGTTTCTGTGGGTAACAGGACACCCACATTTGCAATGTCGTTTATATGGATATGGTATAAAGAATATTGCAAGATTTTGCTTTGCTTTGCTTTGCTATAACCCCAGAGAAGGGAGGGAGGGATGTGGCCCCTTTGGGCCCCAGCTCACTCTTATAAATTGTTCTTGGAAACCCCTTGATTCCATAACCCTTCCTCAGAGTCTTACCAGAACTTGTGTCGTAAGTAAGGAAGCTCTGGAGAAGCTGCCTGTGCTAAGACACTTGGCAAATGCAGAAGGAAAGGGAGGATCATGAAGGAGAAGGAAGGAACACTTGTCCTGAGCTTCACCACGTAGAAAAAGGAAGTGGTTCAGTTACTTATGGGGCTGAACTCAAACACATCTTTAAGAACTCGTGTTCCTTAAACATCCTAAGCCCCTGCTTCTGTATAGGGCCTTCTTAATGAGGAGCCAGCCATATGGCACTCCCCTGTACCTGTCATGATGCAACATCACAAGCTCATGGAGGACTATCCACAGGTCATTGCTTTAATTATTTCTAGTACTTCCTTTGGGCTGCTAGCAAGAAAGCAGGGTCTAACCCACCAAGACAGAGATGTTCTTGCAAGATTACTTTGCTTACCCTGCAGCCATGCACCTGAGGAACTCTGAGCCCTCACATTTGGAATGAATATTACTTTCTTTGCCGTCCTCTCTAAGGACTTTGAGAATCAAAACTTATAACACCCTCTGGCCCTTTGTCCTTATCTCCAGAGAGTGCTTTGAAGTGCACAAAAGCATCTCTGGACTTTCTTTTTAATATCCTAAACTAAACTCACACAAGACATTCTTTTACTCCTCATAAAGCTGCACCATGAATGTGTCTATAGCTGTGCGGGATGTATTTTCAGAGAGTTATTTAAGATTTTCTGAGCTTTGGCACTTTAAATCCTGTAGGCAAATGAGTTTCAAAGGTTTTGATCCCATGTGCATTTTACATTTTAATGGGGAACATTTTCAGCAGAATAACGGGCAAGTGGAAAAGTATCTACTTTTCATGAGCATCAAACACAGAAACTAACCAAGAATAGGGACAAACCAAATTTAGGGGTGAAAACAGGAGACCAGTAAACCCAGCTCCCTCTGGTGTCCACTGAAGAAAGAGCTGTGCAGTTCTGATTTATTTATGATGTGAAAATAGCTCTAACTTGGATATAAAATCACCCAGAGAAGCAGTCTGCTCCTCCTCCTTTTTCTATTCCCGTAGCAGTGGGCTTAATGCCACAGGTTATTAACAAGTACATATTCAGAGCACTACCCCTGACGTTAAGCAGTAGACACTGCCTTTTGAATTACTGCGGAATCAGGACCAAGATCTTTCTTCTCATGGATCTTAGAATTTTATATTTGGGAACAGAAAAAGCCAATATAAATGTACGTGCTGAGGACAGAAGGGGATAAATTTGGACAGCTATTTAACAGCTATTAGTCTTGCTAAGTGACAACTCTAGATGAGAAGTCGAGAATAATACTGTAGAGCCAGTTAAAATCATAAAGGGGAATGTAATTATCCTTTTTTGAATATGTCCAAAGTGTTAAGGGTGACACTGTGACTCTTCTGAAAACTGATGCAATACCTCAAGCTGTGTTCGGTGGCCCAGAGGTAAATGCATACATATGCTCATGAACACACACAGATGCTAGTGTCTCTAACTACATAACTCAAGAAAAGCCTGACATGGGGAAAAAAAAAAAGAGCAAATAGCTATACCGAGACCTCATCTTAGCTAATCTCAATTGTGTCTAGATGTGAAGGTGAAAAAGATGTTAAAATGATGGCAGGAAACAATCTGGGGACAAATTCTTGGGAAAAATTTACTGAGGAAAAGAGAAAAAGTAATTTGCTTGTTCATATGCTCAAAATCACTGTTATGCACTTGGATACCAGTTTGCTACACACCTGAGCACAAGAGATAATGTACTTTACTGTCTTGTCTTAGAACTAGCACCTCCCAGCGACCTCCAAAATGTGACTTTTAAACCAGCAGCATCCAGCAGAAAAATATATGTGATTTCAGAGCCAGAAATGAAGGATTTTAAGTGATTTTCTTGTAATAAGATGAATCCATTGAAATCATTATGCATCAGCTTTTCACTCTAGCTGTGTGTTCCCGGGTGAATCCCTGAGATTGGGAGTCCAGTTATCTTTCCAGCATCTTAAATAAAGTTCTCAGTTGCCAAACTAACCTAATCCTGGTTTAGTCCGCAACAGAGTGATGCTTTGGAACACACACATGCTATACCAAAGGGCATCCAAATCCTCTCTCCTTCTATAAGACCACATAGTTTTGTCTTTTACCAAAGGGAACCTGAAAGAAACATTTAGGAAGCCAGCAGTGGTATCTGCTTTTTGAAGTATCTGTAGATAAGGATATCCCATTGAAATCAATCAAGGAGATCCCATTGAAAAGTAACCTCTCTTAACCCAGATGTTAAACCCCATAGTATCCACAATGCCGATGTTTTGGCAGTGGTTCATCACCTGTAGGCAATCCAAGTTGAACAAACTTGAAAATTTGAAATTTGTCTGTATTTGGTCACAGTGGCAGGTAGGGGTAAGGATTTTGTTCTTCTAAATGCCGTATTGCATTTAGGGTATACAATGCTATACTTTCAATACAACCATTTCAAGGAAAGTCTGCAAAAAGAAGTTGAATGAGAAAATGGTTTGAACTCAAGCAACCAAACATAGGAATCTTTTCCCATTACTAACAGTGAAAACTGTTAGCAGACTTCTCTCAGTGGAGTGGCACAGTCCCAGCATTTGGGGACTGTTAGTATGGAGTAGAAAAAATTCTGAGGGGATAATCTACTTTGTGCACTTAGTCCATGCACCTGGCAAAGTATTTTCCATTCCTGGAAATCAGAGCCAGGATAGAAAAGTTTGAGACATGTTGGCATTTGCCACATCTAGACTCATGAAATCACAGAAAGACCTTGGCTGCACAGGACCACTGGTGGTCTCCTGTCCGACCTCTTACTTAAAGCAGGGCTCACATCAAAGCTGTCACTCATGCCTTCTACTCAGAAAACTCTGATCCCAGACAGAGCACAGCACTTTCTGCTAAGCCTAAATAATGATCCTGATGTGAAATCTGCAATTGCCTTGAAACATTGTATCTCTTCAGTGAAATTACTATTCATGAACTATTTACAGCCTGGAAGTTCGCACTTTTTAGTTTACCTTCCACTCCATGTCCTAGTCAGGAGCAGTTCTGACTAAACGACAGTTAATGCTTGTCAATGTACTCCAGCCACAAGTGGTAGCACAAACTATGTGGCTGTTCAGTCCTTAGCTTCTGTGCAGACTGCGCTGGAACCAATGGTAATTAATAACAAATTATTGGCATGTATTGTCTAGACATCTTCCTAGTGGGAGCTGGACTGAGATCCTGTGAGTTCACTGCATACCAAACACCAAACATCCTTTGGACCAGTTTTGATTGCCTGTGTTGAATTTGGGAGTAAAGGGCTCCATTTCCTATTACTTAACCTAAAGGCCACCCAATACTGCGAGCCCAAAGAAGGGATTATTAGCTAATAAATAATTACTATAAAAGAATAAGCTAAGTTTAAAACTCAATAAGAAAAGAAATAAAATGACTGATCTCTGAAGAACAGCTATGACAAGTAAATAGACATTGCTGCTGGGAAAACTCATAATGGAATAGTTCAATAAAGTCCATATGTCTTGCATTGTAATGTTCCCGAACTGATAAAAACAAGCTATTTTAGAAGCAGCCAAATAACATTCCACAGTCATATACCATGAGTGTTTTAAGACATCTTGTAGTAAGGACAGAGCAGCAAGACCTTTTTTTAAGCTGGAGCCAGCATGAATTAATATATCTTGTTATTCCTTGCTTTCTCTTTCTTTTGTCTAATCCCTCCCTCCAACGGTTTTAGTTAACAATTCTTCTCTCTTTCACTTCGTTAGCTATATGTGGGCGAGGATGAGGAGTAGAAAAAGTGGGTGGAAAACTTCTCAGCTGTCTAACTCTGGCAGAGCTGGGGTGGAGGTGGCTAGAGGGAGATGAAATTATAGGAACTTCACCAGAGACCCCACAAAGAAAATATTCAGCTAGCTCCCGATCCATCTACTTGAATGGCACAGAATAACACTTCTTTTTATAGCCTGACAATTCTGATCCATGATCTTAGTTCATTCATTCAAAACATGGACCGAGGACAAGTGATAAGAGAAGTCTGTGAATTGACTGAGAACTTCTAGGGTTTGCTCTCATCTCTGGCAGTGGGCGTTTCTCTCCCTGTAAAATGAGAACAATCATTGCCTTCCTCACAGAGTATGGCAGAGCTGATGGTAGTACCATGTGATCAGGAAAGGTGCTGGACAGGGCAGGAAACTGGGGAAAAATGGAGGTTTGAGGTGCCTCTGGAGGAACTGGTATACATTTCTAGTATGGATGGACTCATCACTCTCTGGCCCTAGGACAGGTGGGTAGGTGCAGGCTAGTCATGAGCAATTACCACCCCCATGCTTCTTCCTCGCACCCAGTGATTGCAGCTAATGAATTTAAGAGGGCAGGGAAGACAGAGGGCCATTTCTTATGCCCCTGCTGCTAGCCAGGCTCTCTCAAGAAAACCTGCCAAGGACAGTGTAGTAGTTGATGTGCTCCTGTGCTTGGGTAGTGCCTGAAACATATGGGCTAGTCTCCCAGAGACTGGATGCTTTGTTCAAAAACCCAGCCGCGTGACTGTTCACCTTCCCCTGCCAGAGACTAATGTGACAAGGCTTGCGGGAGCTCACTGAAACGGGCACCCACACAGAGTGACAGATTTAAACAGCCCTCCTGAGTTGCTCACATACTTTTCACCAAACGCATCCCACTACTCTAATGTAGTCTTTTTGTTCCTTCAGAAGGTTTAAACCTGGCATTTTTTGGTCAATTTTCTTGAGTGGTTATGAATTTCACCAGCAGAAGAGGTGTATGAGTTTCATTGCAGAAACATCCACATGGTCAGGCGACTGTCTCGTATATACATTAAAGGAAGAAAAGAGATGAATAGAAACCCCCAATGAGACTGAATTATGTATGGATCTTGCTATTCTTTTCTCTTATGTCCTGTTCTCCCAAGCTCAGACCAGTATGTTCAGTTTACTAAAAGGAAAGAAAATAAAATAGTGATCTAGTTCCTTACAACTTGAAGAGGAAATTCAGGCAATTCATGCAATCATGGATGTTTCACCTGGTGTTAAAATGCAGTCTTCAGAGGTAGCTACACAGTAGTTTAAATCACAAAGTGAAAAGTTCAATATTGACTCAAAACCACTGGGAAAATTAAACTAGCACGATGCAATTGCCTCAACCGCTATTTGACCAAAACTTCAGCGCAGTACATCATAATGTTAATGATAACATGCTTTTCTTTAGGAATGAGACTCAGCCTTTAGAAGACAGGAGGGGTGAAATTCACTTCTCCATCTGTGGAATTATAATGGAATAATCATTATGACGAAGATGACAAGAGACCTCAATTTTACATGCCACTTTTGTCAAATAGATGTCTAAAGATCTTGATGTGATCAAAGATCACATCAAGCATCAGTGGTCTGCTGGAAAAATCCTTGCTTGCTGGCCTGCAAGCTAGCCTTTGAGCAAGATTCTGGATCTGGTAATTTCTGGGGGTTTGTTCCCATATTTTTAGCAGCTCTAAAAAGTTAATGCGTTTTTTCATATGTTGCTGAACCAGCATGCATTGCTACAGTTCTTCAAGGGTGAACTCTAGGGATGCTGACAAATCTTAGAGCCTAGGTAAATTCCACCTTCTTCTCTGAGACTCCAGCTATCATTGTACAGGCTCAAATCACACAGGAAAAATAACCAATCTCAGCTAATCCCAGCTTCATAACACAGTCAATAAAAGCCATGCTCAGTCAGACTCCAATATCTTTATTATTTCATCTGGCTAGTCAATGCAGATGAATTACTTGCTAGGACATGGTGGGAATGGATTGGGCTGTTTCCTGTCTATTCCATTTCTGGTGGGAATAATGACTGATAAAACACAGGAAAAGTCTGAAGGCTATGAGTTTTCATCAGTGTCTTTTTTTGAATTATATTCTATTATCTAAAGACTCTACCTAACACAGATAGCCTTGGACTTCAGAAAGGGGGAAGGAGAGGAATTGTCTGCTAATGTAAGCAAGGAGACAAAGTGCTGAAACCTGAGATTCATAAAATGTAGTTTTATTAATTTGAATAAATCTTAATCAGGACATAAAAATTATTAGGAAACACCTCAGAATGTGTTTTCAACCAGTGGGTCAGCAGGAGATGAAAATAATGAATATACTATAAATTGTAAAATTATGTAACTTGTAAAGAAGTATTTTTATGAAACTTTAATAATGAAATATGTAAAAGCTTAAGCTAAAGGGTTGTAGGCTGAGCTTTTGAACATGTCTAAAAAATGAATACTTTAGGATGCCTGGAGTCTGTAGAAAGAGCAAAGATGGCTGTGCAGGGCAGAGCGAGGAGCAGCCTCGGGGCTGTTTGTGGTACTCAAGATGTGAGCAGCAGCAAAGCTCTTAGGGAACAAGAGGAGTCCTTCTGAGGACTGCATGGGGTCCTTGTACTGAGGTTGTCTCATGGTCCTCATTTCCACTAAGCAGTTGCGCCTCCCTTCTCCTAGCACTCTAGCATCCACCATGTTTTACAGGCAAGAAACTCAGGCACATGGTGATGTCAGGACTGACCTGTGGGTAGGTGCTATGGTGTCCTCTGCGGGAGTGGAGCACTATTTCTCCGCTGATTGCTGTACCTGGAGATTGCTGCACCTTTTCTTTCTAGGGAAATTGGGTGATGGGGGAAAGCTGGGAAGTCCCTAATCATGAACTAACATAGACTGAAGATGTGTTTGGAGTGCCCTGCTGGATCCAGGAGCTCTGTGGCACTCCTAAAACACCTCCTTCAGAGACTGCAGCCAAATCCCATCTTAAGTCCACCAGCAGACTAAAATCTCGCCCAGTTGCATATTTGCCTCAGCAAAGTTGGTAAAAGAAGAAATGGGAGTGGTATATGTATGCATAAAACAAAGAAAAATGTTTCTAATTTTGTGTTGTTGAGGTGTCTCACTATCCCAGCATGTGGGACAATTCAGCAAACAGGTATTTTTTGAGTCACAGCAATTGTGAAACCCTTCACTTTTATATGGGGACTAACATAACTTTAAGACTGATCATCAGATACAAACTAAGCTCTTGGACACCAGATCATATATTTAGACAGACGGTATGTATGGAGAGAAACAGTAGCCATGAGAGCTGCAGAACTCTTGTCAGTCCATGCAGCAAACAGAAAGTTTTAGAAAAGGAAGAAACTTTGTAGGTACATGTCAGCAGCCTCCATTTTTTAGTAGTAATTAGCACTTTGTAGGTAGTTGCTTTTACCTAAGATCTAAAATTCTTAGAGAATACATTACAAACAAAGCTCAAGGAGCACTATGCCATCTAAATAAATCTGATTTATAAATATCTTCCAGCAAGGGGAAAACTCAGGAATGAAATGCGAACACTGATTTTCTCCTTCCCAGCCCAACCTCCATGTTTTCAGAGCTCTGGTTTAGATTATGTTTAGAGCTGGAAAGTCTCCATGAGAAAGAGCAGATGGCTAAGGCACTGATCCTGCCAGATGCTGATTTAGTCTGGACCCAATCCAGAAGAGCACTTTAGCTTTGTGCTTAACTTTAAGCATGGGAATAGCCCAAGAATTATCATATGCTTTAACGTATACTGGGATATGAACTGCAGCGTTCAGCACCTTGCAGGATTAGGCAGTAAACTATCTGGAGCATCCATCTCAAAACCTGTAGTTGCAAACCCACTCCTACAGCCACAAACCTCTATAAGTCCAACAGGGGTAAAACAACTGTCTGAGCCAGACCACAGTATCTTCTCCAAGGCATAGCCAGAAGTCTGTGAATCTAGAGCAGAACAGCTGCAGCAATTTCTCAAGGATTAGCATGGATGTGTGTAAACAATATCACTCAGTATCACCACAGGTACCCGGGAGGCATTTAACACGGATAATTCATGGCTGGGATCTTTGCAGTTCATGCAGGAAGTGTGCTCCTGGTGCTGTTTGGAAGGGGAAGCAGGCAGGGAAGTGTGGAAGGAAGGAGGTCTTCCCACCTTCATTGGCTTGGTAACATGGTTGGCAATGCAAATGGGTAAAGAAACGTTGACAACTCCATCTGAAACAGGCAGGTACTGCAGGAATTTACACACCTTGAAAATCAGGCCAGCTACCTCTGGCCACCATAGGCCTCTTAAATTACACAGCTGTTTAACTCCTGCTACTGGGAGAGTAGGCAAGGTTGGGCAGTACAAAGTGCTCTCTAAGTGCTAAGCATTTTAATGAACTCAGAGTCCTTATCAGTTGTGTGCGCTTCACAGGGCCCCTCTTGCACTGAACCAGTCTTACACTTTCTCAAGACTGAGGGAGACAGAGAGGTTTTTGACCCAAAAGTCTTTGGAGAGTTTTAAACAGGGTATGTGACATCATTGTCAGAATCCCGGTATTTATAAACAGCAGAGATCTGAAAATGATCCCAGGGCTGTGGAATTTAAAGCATGCTAACAACCCGCAGCAGCTTGGGAACTGTGGGCAGAGAGCTCTGTGTGAGCGCAGCGTCCCCTCCATAAAGCCCACTGCTATTCCATGACATCATTGCTCAGATTTTCATCAGACACATACCTTTCTTTTATCCCCATGCTTCATGGTTAAGTTTTCAATGCTTCCGATCTTGTTGCCTATGAACATGTTCTCCTGAACCACAATTTTTTGCCCATCGGGGTTGCATCTGGAGGTAGAAAAGCAAAGGTGGTGTTCAAGAACCCAACTCACTGCAGATAACCCAGGGAGGCATTATTAAAGAGAGAGAATGTCATTCTTAGACAGTAGTCTTAGGTCTTAAAAATTGGAGATTGTTACCTCTTCGGGAAACTACTGTATTCCTTCATCGCAACATTTCAAAGTAATTTACAAAGCACCTTGACAGAGGTAGACAAAGATCAGTATATGACCAGCAAGGAAACCCCCTAAACTTTCTGAAGATTGAAAATAGAAAATACTGGACAACTAATTAAATCATGTGAGTTTAATCTGGCTAATATGAGTTATACTCCAACTCAATGCAGCTGTGGCTTTTTAAGTGCTCTGTTAGCACTTGCAGTGCATTTCAAAATTCAAAATGCCAGTCATTCAAAACTGTGGGAGGTGAATGTTGCTGAGCGTGTCTGTCTATCTGCTCAGCTTTCCAACATGAAGTGCAGGCTGAGGGAGTAGAATGGATAAATACTGGGATAACAGTAGCGGAAGGCTCCTTTAATATTGCATATTCCCCAGAAGATAACCGTATCTCAGTCAGTTATCAATCTTCAGTTTTGAATTATGGGCAAAGAGCAGTGTATGTAGCACATCATTCAGAAAGGTATACCTGCACCATCCAAGGCAAAGGGCTTTTCTGTCTTCTTTAACTACAGCCCTTGGAATAATTAAGCAGAGACACAGGCCTTCTCATGCTTAGGAGTGCAAAGGCTTCAGCAAAGCTAGAGCTCCAGGCATCCTGGCTGAGGGTGCTGCCAGCTGTGCAACTCGAGGAAGCCTTTCATTTTAAAGTTGCCAGTTCAGCTCCAGTCCAGCACGGCTGGGTGTTACAAACTGTGACTCTGTGATGGCAAGTTAGTGAAGTCAGTTCAGTTCCCCAACTAGCTGCAATTGCACCTTGCACAAGTCATCACAATGCACGACAAGGAAGTGTCCTTATGGCCTCCTCTGCCTCAGCAGAGGCACCGTACTTCCCATGGCCGGTCCCAGCGGCCTCTAAGCCCACCATAGCGGATTAGGATTATAGGAGGTAAAATGAATAGGGGCTTCTATAGGTGATGACCAAGGCCTGATGCTGCAGAAAACTAATCCATATATCAGCCGTGCCTTTGCCAAATCCACACAAGATGCATGGGTAACACCCTGGGTCAAGGGAGGGTTTATAGCTCTCAATAGAGCCTAATTAGAAGATGTCTTGAGTGACTTCCTGCAAGGCACAATTCTGTCTTGAGGATGAAGGGAAAAAACTCAAAGGAAGCAGATCACATCACAGCTATAAGGAACAATGACAGTGTTTTGGGATTCAAAGTGCACTAGTGAGGAGGGGGGAGAGAAAGAGAGAGAGAGAGGAAGTGAGACAACAGAAGGAAATGGGGTCTGTGTCATTTCCCACAGGAATCCTCCTACAGCTTCTGCTGGAAAAAGATAAGGCTGCCCCGGAGGCCAGAAGAGGTAGACACCACTCTGCAATTGTATTTAAATTGATAAGATCAGAGAGTCAGAGAGCTGGAACAAGGGTTATACGAGGTCTTTTGCCACCAGGTCACTGGTTCGAATCTGGCTTAATTCGGCATAATTTATGACCAATTCTCTCTCCCTAGACAGAAAGGTCTGGAAAAGATTTCAGGTCATCTCTGTGGCTTTCCTACAGAATACATAACCTGTTTCCTTATGATGTTTCCATTCTGCTCTTGTTGAACACCTCCGAAGCAGCAGCTTGTATGCCTTCTGCTGACCTGCGATGCCAACAGCCCTACCTAAGCCTACAAATCTCTGTCATTTTATTCCTGCAGGAGCAGTGTAACTGCCTAAATGAGGTAATGGGCTATTTCCCTTGTGGAGGGACACAAGGTCACTTTTTAGACCCAACCCGAGACTAGATTACCCAACATCACTGCAACTGCTGCAGCAGAGAACCTGGGAAAGGAGCTTCTCTGTGATTTTTCCCTGTCTCATGACTTGCCATTCACAGCATTTGGAAAAGCATTGAAATGGTGAGAAAATAAGGAACCATCCAGCAATTTTCTCTCTTGCTTCCTAGACCTGCCTTCATTTTTTTTTATGGATGGAAAACCTGACTTCAGTCCTTTCATTGCAGGGAAGAGTTGAAGTGCAGTCAGAAATGTTATACATGGCTCCTGTATGTCCCCTGGGGCTACCAGGGGAAGTATTCAGACCTCAGCCAAGACCTCTTTCTATAAATCACTCTGCTCATATAACAGCAGGAGCAAAGAAAATGTCTACTTGTATAAGGCAAATCTCGAAAAGCATCTTGTGTTTTAACTTGCCTCATTCCTCTCTGACAGTTTTGACCCAGTGACTTGCTTCTGTGGCTTCACACCTCAGGCTGCCCCCAGACTTTAGCAAAGAAGTGTCCTCAGTAAGGTGTGAAGGCCTGGTTACCTCTTCCAGCTTCTGCAACACAGATGCTGCTACAGGAGCCCATGCCCAGTGTGCACTAGTGAAGACAGCCCTTAGGAAGTAGCATAAATTCCATATGGCAACTAAATGAAGCCAAAGCTTTAGCAGGTTTGTCTGACAATAGCTCTTACAAGGGAAAAAAGTGTGTTACCTCTTGGCAGAAAGCACCTATCTGTTTTTTCTTTGTCAACCATGTAGGCTGCATCCGAGAGGTGTAAGAAAAGATATTGGTAAGTCAGAGGGGCATTGCTGGTCAAGTTAAAGAAAATTCAAGCCTGATCTTTAGTGACTTTAAACTTATTTGACACAATTCTGATAATACAGAAGGTGCTTGTAATTCCAAGAAGATCATACACAACTAGATGTCTGCTGGGTTCATAACCCTTGAGGTGAGGAATTACTGCTTGTGATTTTTAACTAAGATAAATAAGATGTACTGGAAAGAAAAACTGACTTGAAACTACCAAACTATTTTGCAACATGTTTACCCGTAGGAATGTCCACTTACAGTGTGTCTGTGAGGCTGCAGGGCTGCCACTTCCACTCAATCTTCGGGTCAGGATTCCCGCTTACGGTGCACTGGATTTTGTGTTTGCTTCTTAATTCCACCCGCTCAATCTTATCAAAATCAGTTTCCTTTTCATAGATTTTGGGTCTCTCTAAAGAGAAAAACCACACCACCAACAAAATAAACTCAAAAGCGCAAATTTACATCCATAGTCATGGTCTTGTTTCCATCAAAGGTTTTGAAACCTTTTGCTGTTGTCACTGAGAGATAATTTAGTGAGGGTTGCTGAAGCTGTAGGTCAATTACCAGCAATACTGAAAGTACACATTTAAAGGAACATGGGTATTAGTTGTGGTGTTTCAGAAAATACATTGAAATGCTGCCACATTCATCCTAACTGCTTTCAAATGTTGTCATGGACCTGGTATACTTCTAGAAAATTTATGCCATGAAACATCTATTGGTCGGGGACTGCAGGGTCAGGCTGTTAGTCTATGTACTGTGGGCAAAATAGCATTCAACTTCTGATGTCACCTCCTGAGAGGAACCTTATCAAACAGCTGCTGTTCTGCAATATTGTTAGCATTGTGCAGGTTCTTCCCAGGGTTTTGGAAAAAAACTCTTTTTGATCTGAAAACTTTGCTTTCCTTTTCTGTTTATGTGTAATGTGCACTGGATAAAGGGGCGAAGAAAGCAAGGAAGAAGTGGTGGGGAGAAAACACTTGTAGAGTAATGCCAAGAAATTCTCACCAATAGCAAAACCATTAAAAATGTCACTGCATTATTCACAGCTGGAGGGGTTGCAAGATCACACCCTTGGACTGGAAGTCTCTCAAGAACAAACTTTTGTGTGACACTTTCAGGGCTGCTTGTTGCCAGCAGGAAAGAAATGCTTTGTCCCATCTACTTCCAGCTCCCACGGGAACATGCGAAGATGAGAAATAATGCTAAAAAATCCCCAAAGTGAACTGAACTTTTCGTAACCTCGGAGAGGGTGGGTTTGAGTTTGGGGTGAAAGCACAGGCTCTTCCCTTATGCAGACAGCTTTGCCCATCCCTAGCCATATCTCTTTGTCTGCTTCTCATAACAGGAAATCAAACAGATTTATTGGTCAGGGTCCCTCTGTGGAACACCTCTGTGCAGCCAAGTGGCTGCTTTACACTGAGGGCTTTTGACAAGTTGGGAAGTGAATGTAGATTAGATTTCTGTTTTTTGGGTTAACTTATTTTTTCTGCTGTCAAGGAGGCCCCAGATATGTAAATATGAGCTACTGCCCACCTCATCAATCTTGAGCCCTTTCCCTCTTTTTTTTAATAGCTTTTTTTCCCTTCCAGCCCTCTACTCTTACGAGAGGACTGACCAGGCTGATCCCGTGTCTTGGTGGGATCTTCGCTTTCCATTTCTCATGGCTGCCAGGTCAGACTCTGAAAGATATTCTGACCTCATCATTGCCTAAAAATGCATCAGCATTTCCTTCTCCACCACATGAAAGGGCTATTGACTGTAGTTGGTTCAGCCATATCCTAGCTCCCATGCTATAGTAAAATATTAGCTGCTTTAAAGAACCTTCATTAGGTCCTGATTAACATTTCACTTGAAAAACCCAAATGACAAGCCTTGTTTGGTTTTGCTTTTGCATTCCCTTTTGCTTTTTTTGATCCCCTTTGGTTGAGCTTTGTTTCCCCATCTGCCTGCAGATGATGTTCTATCAGGCTCCAAAAATCCATTCTTCACTCCTTTGTCCCTTCAGACAGGGAGAGGGTTTGGTTTTTTGTGAAGGAGAAGATGAAGAAGGCAGCAGACGGGAGAGTACTTCAGACTGTGGTTAGCGTCTCTCAAACTCACATCCTCATCTGTAAGATGGACACAGGGTTTCCTGCACGACATCGCTCTCGGTTTTATGCAACTTATCACTGATCAAGTGCTTTGAGATTTGTGAGCAATTCACAGGACAAATTATTGGGACTAATGTTGAATTTCCTTGTAACTGGCATCTCATTTCCCATCAGTAAATTATTTCTGATCATAAAAATAATTTTGTAAAACTCCCTGGAGAGAGAAGCACATTTTTCATTATCTCAGACATTTTTCTTTTCAGTCTCAAATCCTGTGTTCGGCATGTCTGGACTGACATCAAAAGCATGATTTGCACTTGGAGAAAGAGACTCTAAGTTCAGTGTGAAAGGTTACTCAAGTATTATGTGAAAGGTTACTTAAGTGTTGTGCTTTCTGGGCTGTAAGAACAAAGCTTTACACGCTTGGGGAGGGAGATGGTATGTTTGTGTGTTTTTGTGTGTGTGAAAGAGTATGGGGGGACAAGGTTTGATTACAATTTTTTAATATTAGGATATTTTTCTAAACTCTTGGTGGAATCATGAACATGTTGACTGTCATTTAGATTACCCTTCTAAAAAAGAAATAATAATTTTAATTTGATCTAATTCAAATAAGAACATACACGAGTGATGAATAAATTCTTAATTCCACAATTACTATACTGCATGGCACTATTAAATATTACTTGAAACCTAAAATGAGTCAAAATGATTCATCAATTGAAATAATTATTATTTATGAGGCTTAAGCAATGATTTTCTTAAAACTTGAGGGGCTGGCTAAAAATGCCTCCCCATCATTTCTTTCCAGGGCCTTGTAACACAGTGTGTGGTCATAGCTAATTATAGGCATGACACTCAGAAATTGAAGCAATTTTAAAAAGTGTCTCTCTCTTTTTCCCTGCAAAGGTTGTAATGGTGGTAGGTGTCATTCTGCAAATGACTCTTAACTGCGGCGCTACCGCAGTGGGGATGGGGCCCTTCCACAATTTTGAATGTGCCTTCTTTGTGCTTGTTAGGGTGTTTTCATCGGCCCCACCGCACTGCAGGTTTGTGATGTGGAATGTGGTATACTCATATGGGGGATGTTTCTTGGGCTGAAAACTTTTCAAGCCTCTGCACACTGTCATGACCATTTTACCTCTTACTGTACCCCCGGAAGGCAACTGAAGCTTTTCCACTCACTTTGCTTGCTGCTGGGCCAAATCCTATTTACAGAAGTTGCCTCCATCAGTGATGGAAACAAGTTAACTGGCTTCTGTGGTGGGTACTGGCCTTTTACATTTGCTCAAACTAGATAGTTGGCTCAGTGGGCTGGCATCTGCAGCAGTTTCACCTGCGAAAAGGCTCTCCACATTAGCGTGATGAGGAGTATTTAGCCTGAAGCCAGTGATTATCTAAGGTACGCCTAGTAGTGTATTTCTCAGATAACTCTCTCCCTCCTCCAAACAATGCTTTGCTTTCTCTTTCATATTTGCTTACTAAGCAGCATGGTGGATTATGCACGAACTCCTTTTTATCTTCAGTCATGTTTAGGTGTGAGGTAAGGCTTGGGGTATGAATCCATTTGTAAGCACTGCCAAAATCCAAGTATATTTTTGGTTGCACCGTAAATTATGCATCTGAAGTGTGGATTTTATCAACACACAACATTTGCATGTGTATTGCTGTTTTTTAAGCATGCAGAAAAAAAGCTGTTGGGAATGGAGAGCTTTAGCAGGCATTGGACTAATGGCAGTACAAAAGTTGAGTAAACAAGCAAGCTGCCTCTGCACAGACCCTGCAGTGCACCTTGCCTCCTCCAGCAAATGCAGCGCAGAGTCCTCCTTTCTCTTTGAAGCTCTGCGGCTGTGCCGAGAGCCTGACCTACAGCACCTTCTGCTATCCTAACCTTGGGCTCACTGAACACCTTCCTGCAGAGCCTTGCCCC